TATATACAGACACACAAGTAGGCGGGAACTAACACAGATACAACAGGGGACACGGAGAGAGAATCACACCAAACAAAACAGGCTTTAGCAAAATTTACCGAAAGACCCAGAGAATATGAATTCCTGCTGTCACGAAAGCTTCAAGTCAAAATATAAAAGATTGTGGGGGGGGGGGGCAGGGGGGTTTCGTGTTTAGTTTTGGTACCCTTACCGCCCGCGCCTCCGATTGTCACCGTTGGCTACGTACGGTGCGAAAGAAGTTCAACGTACAATCGGCGTTCTTCATTGCAAGGCCCGCGGGCCCGCGGGCCCACTTGCATCACCCCCCCCCCCCATATCATCGTCGTGTTGCTGTCAAACCCCCAACAAAGTTTTCAAATGTTCGGCGGCCCACACACTGCCGACGATGTCTTATCGGCCAAAGTGAAGAACTCTGGCGAACAGCAAGTGCAGAGTGAATAGGTCGATCGGTGCTGATGGTGACTGATCAACACAATTGATTCCTGTCCAGCCGTGACCATGTTGTGACTTGGGGGGCCTGGCTGTGGCGTCTGTTGTCGCGGGGCAACCGCGTTGGCAGTGTCGTCGAGGTGATTTGGGTTGTTGTTGTGTCGTGGTTGTTGTTGTTGTGTCGTGGTTGTTGTGTCGTGGTTGTTGTGTCGTGGTTGTTGTTGTGTCGTGGTTGTTGTTGTGTCGTGGTTGTTGTTGTTGTCGTGGTTGTTGTTGTGTCGTGGTTGTTGTTGTGTCGTGGTTGCGCTGTGGACCTGGTGGTTGTTTGGTGCTGAGTGCAGGCCTCCCCACTTCTCTCTCTCTCTCTCTTGTGGCTGCTTGTTCCCTCGCACTGCTGAGCTTTGGAATTCCCTCCCATCGTCACCACCCCATCACCCCCACCCCCCCCAGCTGTTATAATAATAACCATGATAAAGGTTGTTTGGGTTAGATCGTGTAAATATAAATGTAATTTCAGTACGGCGTTTCGCTGGTGATTACACGTTGCGAGTTTACTTTCCAACACACCGGTGTGCAGAACTGGTAACTAACCGGCATGTTTTATTTACGTGACAAACCGTTACTAATTGGCTGTGTTGGGTGGTGGCGGGTTTAACGACACATTTATATTTATGCGATCTAACCCAAAAAAACATTGATTATGCATATTGGTCGTGAAAGCCTACGTGTTAAAACTACATTTCTAATTTCAAGAAACGTAATAATAGGGTTTCCCCCCTTTTTTCTGGCGCCTTTTGGCGTCATCTGGTCTAGCACCAATTGAGTCTAGGCTCTAAAGAAAGCTGTCTCTGGTGTGGACCAATCACGATCAAGGACAATGCCAGTTATATTATCAGTTTTTTGTTTGCATTTTCACTGCAAGTATTGTGGTTAATGCAGACATGAATCCTCGTAAAAAAAAGTTTCAGTTTTCTTGCCAGAAAAAAGGGGGGGAAACCCTATTATTATATTTTGGTACTGGCAAAGGAGGCCCAATGATGTTCAAGAAACGTGTTGACTATATATTCTTGCTTCTTTCGGTAAAGTCACGTTAAAGGGAAACGATAAAATAATAAAATATATATAAAACAATAAAATTCTCACGACGTTTCGACTGTAACACTAACAGTCATCATCAGGTGTGAAAAACCAACGTGACTTTACCGAAAGAACCAAGAATATGAATCACTGCAGTCACGAAAGCTTTAAATCAAAATTTAAACGTGTGGACTGTTAACCATTACAGCACTTTTCTGGTCCTTCCCCCGCACCTCCGATTAGCACGGTTGGCTACGTACGGTGCGAAAGAAGTTCAACATAACATACATATGCATATATTTGCTGTTTGTTGCTGGCTGCTTGGAGCCTTTGGCCATGTGGACATCTATGGAAAAAAGCTTCATAAGCTCATCGGATTCCTCCAGGATAACCGCTCATCAAAGAAACTGAAAATACCCAGAGCATTATATTGGTTTAATGTTGACTTAACAGCTTTCCTGACTGCAGGAATTCACACTCTTTGGGTCTTTCGGTAAAGTCACGTAGACAGAAAATGAATTTTTAAAAAAAAATCACGTTTCGATCGCAACACAAGCAATCGTCTTCAGGTGAACAAAAAATACAGCAGGCAATTCCGCCTGCTGTATTTTTTTTTCACCTGAAATTCAGAGGCAGCAGTGACACGAGCGGTCTTCTACTCCCATCGTGCGTGCGACTCATGTCGACTCAGAGCGACGACTCCAATGTTAAGATTCAGGTGGTCGAGCCCAGATAACCGCTGTCAGGAGGAGCGCGGGAGTGCATCGTCGTGGCTTTGATGTCAATTTCGTTATTGTGTATCGGGGCATTGCGTCCTTACGCACGTTGTAGGGGTCCGTTCCTCGATGAGCACAGTCGCATCACTGCTGGCGAGTTTAGATGGGCCGCGAGGGCTGGAGACGCCGTGAAAAGCTGCCACCTTTTCACACAGCAGTGAATATCTGGCTGATCATGACGACGACGATGATGATGATGACGATCATTTAATAATGCAAAGCAGCTGCTGTTGTTGGGAGGTGCTCTTGAAGGGTGGGGTTGAGAAAGGAGGCGAGAGGTGGGGGGGGGTTGTCACGGACATCGCGGGTTATTGAGAGGCGTCAAGTTTTACAAACTCGACAAATACTCCTCCTGGCAGAAATCCACACGGAGCGAACACCGCTCGCGTCGTTTCGGATGGGAACATTTTAATTCGTCAGGCTTGATGCGAGTACATCCGCAGGGGAGTGCGGGTTGCCCGTATTGCTTCCGTGCGGTTAAAACGATATAAAACACCCGAGCCAAGTAAAGTCCGAACACGGATCACGCGCGTCTATAAATAACGAGGAACGCAAAGGGCGCTACAGCCACGGCGCGCACGGGAAGGAGGGAGAGAGAGAGAGACACATGCTCGAGTCACAGTGGTTCGTGCTTGTTGTTGCACCGTCACCAGACGACGAATGTGCGCGGAGAACTTTCAAATACAGCACGAGGAACGTAAAACAAACGCACGAGGCGTGCCCGTGACTCCCCATCTCGCGCACACGACGCGCACGAGGAAAGAATCGACTCACTTTGACGAAGATTAAAACTCCCCCGTATAGCCTTAGCAGACCGTTGGGGGCAAGTGCTGTGAGCGAGCGCCTATGAAGGCCGACACTGTGGCGCGCGATGGGGTGGGGGTTGGCCAAGACGACGCCCGGCCGCCTTTGTCTCCCCAGTGGCGATGTTTACACACCGCACCCGGCACTCATTTGAGGCCGAGTCGACCCAAGGGAGGTCCAGGACAGGTACAGATAATCGTCACTGGCGTTGGTGGCCGTGAGCGGGAGTGGAACTCGGGACGGCGGGATTGCAGCGCGGCGCGCCGACCGCTCCGCCACCGCTCCCCGCGTGCCCGCACACACATGCAGCGACGTGCAGCGACGTGCAGCAACGTGCAGCAACGTGCACAGTTTGTATCAACGGACGTTGGCGTAGCAGAGCCAAAAAGGTGTGCGACCGCTCAGCTGTCGGTCTCGCGGCGGCCGTGCGTAGAGGCACGGCGCTTCGTCGCGTTGGCAGCACCATCGCCTTGCGGAGTCCCCAAACGAACGGACGGAGAGAAGCGCAAGGCAACGACTTGGGGTGCTGCTGGTGCTGCTGGTGGTGGTGGGGCGTGCGGGTGCGGTTGATGCGCATGCGAAAATATACAGCTCGTCTAGCAGCGGACAGATATACACGTCTGTATGTACACGTGCACGCGTGACGCATGCGCATAAATTAACATCGTAGCGACGAGAGGCGAAACCGTGGCTCCGCGACACGCGGGGCTCCACGTGGGAACGGCTCTCACTGACCCCCTCCTCCCCGCCCGCCCGGTAGCCCTGCCGAGCGCTGGGTAGGGCCAGCCAGCGCCCAGTGGCGCGAGCGAGCGACGAGCGGGCATGCGGTGCAACCGCACTCTGGGGTTCACGGGCCGGAGAGGGAGGGGGGGGGTTACGCTAGAGGGGGGCGCGGTTGGGGAAATTTAGGCAAAGGAACTCCCCACCCCCCCCCCCAAACATTTCATTTCTTGCACCGGGGGGGGGGGCCCATGCCAACCGTGCTACGTCGCCGCTCTCAGCTGCGGCGACGCTTAACGCGCCAAGCGCGGCAGAACGATGGACAACATCAAGGAGACGGAACCTCTTCGCCCTCCTCGTCGCTTGTCCGAGCCTTCGGGACATCATCACCACACGGGGGGGGGGGGGGGGGGGAGGGGGTTCCACGTTTGTTTCAAGCTTCTTCTTCCAACGAAACCCGGGACCCCGCAACGTCTCGTCGCTTACGCGGGGAGACGACGCGATAGGGCTCGGCGTGCGCTCACTCGGCCGACGGCCTTCGGCGTGCCACTGTAGGGGGGGCGGGGGGTGGGGGGGGGCTCTCCGGTGTTCGGCGAGGATCACAGCGGCTCTCGATGCGACAAGAACGAGCGCCTGCCGCGCCAGAATTGCTCGCTCCCTCGCTCGCTCGCTCCCACCGCCAACCTTGGACGAGGGGTTTGCGTTTCTTTGGCGACGCTCGGGCTAAAGGCCTCGGCGCGTGACGTCATCTCGACCGTTCCAACGCCCTCGCTGCAGAGACCGCAGTCTCGCCCAGGGGGGGCCCAGGGGGGGCCCATGGGGGGCCCAGGGGGGGCCCAGGGGGGACCTCTCCAGTGGCAGCTGTCTTTGTGCGGCGTGAGGGTGAACGCAGCCCCGGCCTGCGCCCGAGACGTCGGTATGCCGGTAGGGGGCGACTGGGTGGAGATGGAACCGGATGCTGCCGTCGGATCATCCAAGTCGCCCACGGCAGTGTGGAGCGGCGCGAGGGCAGCGTGGGGGGCAGCACCAGGTCAGCGTGGGGGGCAGCACCAGGTCAGCGTGTGGGCAATGTGAGGGCAGGGTTAGGGCAGCGTGTGGGGCAGCGTGAGGTTCGTGTGAGCGGGCAGGGTGGGGGCAGCGTGAGGGCAGCATTGGGGGCAGCACATTGGGGGGGGGGGGGGCAGGGGGGGGGGGGGGGCGAGCGGCTCGATCAAGCGAGGGTGAAATTCTCCTCGCGGAACACGAGGTCGACGGCGGCGTCGACGTCCGCCACGGTGTACGTGGGCTCCACGAGCTCCGGGTCAAAGCGGAAGTCGCGGTGGCCGTGGAACACCGTCTCCTTCACCGCCTCCGCCGGGTCCGCCGGCACCTGGAGGGAGCGCGCGGTGAGAAAACCCTTGAGGGGATGGGTGGGCAACGTGCGGCCAAGCTGCACGGCTGGCCACCTTTGTCTCCCAAGTGCCAGCGTTCTAAACTATGAAACGCAACCATTTTTTTAAATATATATTTGACCAGGTAAAGTCCCACTGAGCTGCGTAGCTCGCTCGTCGAGCTATCACAAATGATAGCTCGACGAAGTGGCTCATCGCGTGGAAATTTATGGCAGCCGAATACTCTAAACGCGCGCCGATTCTCAACGTGGAAGGAAAAACAAGAGAAAAAATTCCAGACGACCACGGGGAGAGAGAGAGACATGCAAACTTCAAATATACAGGTGTCAGGGTCAAGATCGAACCCACGGTAGTTAAGGACTCGCCAACCGCGGCGCCACACTCCGGGCACTCGTCGCAAGGCTGAGTCCACCTAAGGCGAGGCCCAGGACCGGTTCAGACGATCGTCACTGGCGGCCGTGAGCGGCAATCGAGCTCGGGTCACGCACGCGCGCGCGCACCAACTCGGGTCACGCACGCACCTGCGCGTGGGGGCTGTACACGCCCGTGCACACGAGGATGGAGCGGCACGCCAGGGCTGCGGCCCCGGCGAGCTCCCCAGCTCCGTGCATCGCGTGCCCTCTCGTCGTCCTCGCCGCGCCGTCGCCGCCGCCGTCGCCGGGACGGGCCGGCCGCGCCACGGCCAGCCCTCCGGCGGCCCGGGCCTGCACTCGCTCCGCCACCGCCTGCCGGTCGCCGCGCTCCTCCCGCAGGCTACGCTGCAGGTGGCGGCTGTAGAGGTTGGCCCCGTAGATGTCCGCCATCGGGTTATCGCTGCCGAGGTGGCAATGGTGGGGAGCCGGGGAGGGGGGGTGACCAGCGGCGTTAAGTTTGTTTTATTATAATTACGGAGTGGGCAGTCTCCTGGGAGAAGGAGGAGCGATGAAATCAGCTCGTGGATTATGACTTCTTCTTTTTTTTGTTACTTACTACCACCAGGTAAGGCCCACTGAGCTACGTGGATATTTCCCATAAGCGACCTGGCCACAAACAATAGTGGCTTATCACGTGGAAATGTATAGTTGCAGCCAAATAGTCTGAACGCACGTGGATTATAAATGTGGAGGGGAAAAAACCGGAGGACCCGGAGAGAAAAAAAATGTGTCGTTAAACCCGCCACCACCCGACACAGCCAATCAGTAACAGTTTGTCACGTAAATAGAACATTCCAATTCGTTAGTAGTACAGCACACTCTCACCCAAAAATCGAACCCAAAAAACCTATATTATGGATGAAATTGGTCGCGAAAGCCTACGTGTTAAGCGGGGAGAGAGATATGCAGACTCCGAATATAAATAAACGTTACGGGCAGCGGGGGGTGGGAGGGGGTGGGAGGGGGCGACAAGAGGGACGAAGGGGACCGCTTGTTCTTGCGAGACAAGAGGGCCTGGGCGGATGAGGGCCTTGTGTCGAGGGGGAGGGGGGGGGGGTCGCGAGGATCCAGCTGACAAGAGTGAGAGAGGGACACCCCCCCGCGGCTCCCGCTCACCCGATGGCGTAGAGGGTCTTCACCGGGTTCTGCCAGCCCATCTCGCGCGCCTGCGTGCGCACCAGGTACTCGGCATACTGGTACGTCACCTCGCTGGGCTTGCCGATCAGGGCCTCGTACTTGAGCTCCCTGCCCGTCACCTTCTTGTAGATGCTCTCCAGGCACACCATGAACGTGCCGTGACCGAACCTGCGGCACCGCGGAGCGCAAAGCAGGGGGGGGGGGGGGGGGGGGGGGGCGACGGCGTTCAGGGGGCGACGGCGCGGCGGGTGAACCGCTCGATCGGAGCGTCGGGAGCGGTGGTGGAGTGGTAAGCGCACTGATGCTAAGATCACGTGCTCTCTCCGCCCACCCACCCCAAGACGACACACCCTGGAACAGCTTCAGCAAACTGTTGGGGCAAATGCTGTTGGTGGGCACCTATTAAGGCCAGCACAGCACACGAAGAGGTGGGTGGTGCAGCACTACGCCTTTGTCTCCCCAGTGGCGATATTTTACAAACTGCACCAGGTACTCGTTTGAGGCCGAGTCGACCTAGGGAAGGCCCAGGGACCGGCCACGAGTGGGAATCGACCTCGGGTCGCTGGGATCGTAGCGCAGCGCGCTAACGACTACACTACCCGCTCCTCGACACCACCCTCACCCGTGGCCAAACACTCGCGATGGCTGACACTGGACGGCCAGGCCTTCGTCCGGCAAGTGGATTGACAGAGGGCGGCGAATTATTACTGTTGTCGTTATTCTATATTGCATTATTGTATTGTTACATCATTGCAAAGTTGAACGAACGATGTTCACTTCACCCCCTGCAGCTGCACGAAGGTGCTACCATTCACCGCAATGTAAAAACCAAAAATTGTTATACTATTTACTAATTTATCGGTTAAGGCCCACTGAGCTATAGAGCTCTTTTTCAGAAGCGACCTGGCCACAAATAATCGAAGTGGCTCATCGTGTAGGAATTTATAGCAGCGAGATACTCTAAACACAAGTTGATTCTAAATGTGGAGGGAATAACCGGAGGGCCCGGAAAAAAATCCACGCGACCACGGGGAGAGAGACACGCACACTCCATTCAATAAAGCGGCCATCTGGCTCGGGATCGCACCCATAAACTGCTGCATACCAGGCGAGGTAGTTAACATATCGGCACGGTGGATTAATTATAATCCATTCTTGGAATCGAATAGACAGTTTAAAACCATCTCGCCGGGAGAGTGAATTGCTCCACACTCGTTGTGCAATCCCCTAACCCCTTGGCAGCTATGCCCGCAAGGTGGGAGTGGGCGCTGGTGTGAGGGGGATGCCCACCCAGCACCCAGCACCCCCCCCCCCCCCCCAACGATTGTCTGGGATCGTCACCGTGGCATTTTGGCCTCGGCCATCCACATGAGGTCCATGTTGCACGCGAGCAGCGGGAGGTGGGGGTGGGGCACGGCGCGGGCACCCGTGCCGGGACGCCCGTCCGTCAGCAGCACGTCCATCACCAGCTGGAGGTTCGTCTCCCACCGGATTGGCTCCCCAAACAGGATGATCGCTGTCGTGGCAAAAAGCAAAAAAGATTCAAGGAAAATTAAAAGGTCCCTCCGCGGAATTCCCGCGTTACCCTTTTGTTTATCGCTCGCGCTTTGTACCGGGGCTCTTGTCAGAATAAAAAAAATTAAACAAAGATCCCGCCGCCGCCCACTCAATGTGGCCACCGACACACAACAGCGTGGGGGCAAGGGGCCTCAGCGAGCAACTTACGAAGGCCGGGATGCCGCACGGAGCAGTGGTTGTGTGGCTGACACAACCCACACACGGCTGCTTTGGTTACCCGCCCCCCCCCCCCGCCAGCAACTAAGCAGTGCTCATGTTTATACACCGAACCAGAAGATGAATCTATCAATCGCCACCGAGGTTAGCCGTGGTCAGAATCAAACCCACCCAGGTCGCGGGGTTCGTAGCGCAGCGCGCGAACCACTCCACACTACCACTGAACACAACATCGCACGCACGCCCGCACAGACGCGCACATGAACAGATACACACGGGGGCATGCTGAGGTGACACACGTCTGCACTCCAGCACTTTGGAGGCGAGGGTTGGTGGATTATGCAGGGATCTGTTAAACTCTCAAATCCACTGGGCTGCGAGAGGAAGCCAGTAGAGAGCTACTGCCGAGCAGGTCCCCAATCAACCATTGCTCAGTGGGGATGTCGCTCATTCTCCTTTGCTGCCCTCGTAGTCTGGAACTCTCTTCCCCCAGTCATCCGTGCTGTTGACTCGCTGCCCCTATTAAAGTCGAGGCTCATGACCTTCCCTCCTATGACTCGCTGCCTCTATATAGACAAGCTTAGCCCACTGTTTCTGTACAGCATCATGAGACGCGCTCCCATTAACTCATCATTGTCTGTTTATATTTGGCGCAAATCAAAACAAACAAAAAACCTTTGGGAAATAAACGCTCATTTTCTAAGGGGACCTGGTTTGCAGCAAAAAATCATGAACAGAACAATCCAAAAACAACTGCAGAGGGGTCAAGTTCCAAATGGCAAGGCCGTGCATCAACACGTTACATCCCGCAAAACGAGGCTGGGAGAACGCATCTCATACCAAGCATATTGCTTGAGAAACAGCACCGAGGTCGGTTAAAAAAAACTTTTAGAAGTGAAATCCTGCAAAGCGTAGTGATAAATTGCACACTTGAATTGCACATTTAGCTGCTATGAAAAAATCCATATTTCATTGTATATGTGGGCATATCTCAAAGACAAAACAAACAAGTAGAAATTACAAGTCATAGCATATTGACATATTAACCGACGGAATACGGTCATGTCTGGTATTAAAAATTATTTCGTGAGGGAAATATTCACGTTTTTAATAATTGCAGGTCCAAACAAACGTCTGAGCATTATTATTGTGTGCCAGCCTTGAAATTACCATCAATCTTTGGGAAATCAGGCGTTGTTGTTGGCTGAAAAGACAAGAACAGAAAATACACTGTGAGTAAAATATTCCGAAACTACCAAACAATGTTGCCAGCAGATCCCATTACAGGCGTCTCCGGTGTAGGACGCGCCCGATTTACAACAGTCCACATTCACGGCGTTTATATAACGCCACTGTGGATCGAATTTCGACGCAGAAACGACACGACGCATCTTCCGACACGACTCCAAATGCATTTTGAACAGAGTCGGTCTGGTTTTCCAACGTGACTTGGCGTGGTGCTTTTATCATACTCAAGTGTTTTTGTGGATTTCAACATTTTAAACCCTGTTAAATGTGCCTGATAACAGATCGGCAAATGATGTTTCTACCGCGTCTGTTGTCTACGGTAAAATAGGGGTCGATTTACAATGGGGTTTCCAGTAACACATTATGTCGTAATAGCAGGGACCGCCCTTTGCTCCACTTTCATCCGAACATCTAAACCCCAAGCCTTCGCCAACCCACGCATTACCAGAGTGGTGAAGCATGGTTAAAAAAAATGTTTTGCCGTCTTCATCCAGCAGTGGGTCGGCAAGCGGCTGAGAATTAATTATATTTAGAAATGGATAACGCCATTGTTTTTAAGGACAATGTACTCACCGCGGAGAACTGTGGCAACGCGACCGCACTCTACAACAACTGGCGCCAAACTGTCCCACACGCCCTCCCGCATGGCCTTGTGGGAGCCTTGGCAACCGATAAAGTTATTTTATTTTTTCTTCCGGTTTCGTTTTGATGACATACGTCATCGGAACGGGAAAAGGTTAAGATCTCATATATTGGCATCGTAAACGCAGTAACAATATTTTTAGTTACAATTATCAAATTAGTGTAACGTGCTCGTTTGCATCTCTTTGCTAGTTTACTGCTGGACGGGGGCCTCCCCGCGTCAAGTCGGCTGCAGGGGTTGTTGGTCAAAAAATCGACCGTGCTGTAGTCGGTGTGGCTTGGTGAAGGGTGTTCAGGGACCGCTACAGATACCACTCGCCACCGACCGTTGGCCATGGCCGCAACTTTAACTCGGGTTGCCAAGTTCAGGGCACAGCGCACTAAAAACACTGACGCCACTGCTCCACCAAAGAATGCTCCGGACCGGTTATAAAGTGAAGAATAAATCTATCAAATTTTGATTTAAAGCTTTCGTGATTGCAGTAATTCATATTCTTAGTTCTTTCGGTAAAGTCACGTTGAAGGGAAACAACAAAATAATAAAATATATATAAAACAATAAAAATTCTCACGACGTTTCGTTTCGACCGTTTGTGTTATGGTCGAAACGTCGTGAGAATTTTTATTGTTTTATATATATTTTATTATTTTGTTGTTTCCCTTCAACGTGACTTTACCGAAAGAACTAAGAATATGAAATAAATCTATCGTCACGATCCAACCACAATCCAACTTCGATATTAGCAAGCCACTGGGAGAAATCTATATATATTAAAACAAACTCAGTTCTTCAGAATTTATTTTTGTTTTTAGTTTGGTGCCCTTCTCCCGCACCTCCGATTAGCACGGTTGGTTACGTACAGTGCGAAAGAAGTTCAACATACGTACGGAAGTTCAAAATAATTGCACTTGATAGCATCGGTGCAGTTAGAGCACTGCGCTATGAACATGCCGACCTGAGCTTTATATACCCAGCCACAGCTAAAGTTTAGCGGCGGTTCCAGTTTCTTTATAAGTGACAATACAAAGTGACTGATATGTGATAACGCACTATGTGAAGTTCAACATACGTACGTGCAACTATCCGCTCCGCTGCGTAAATATCCTCACAAGCGGCCAAGTAAAACGCATCACGGGTACCGCGCGCGTACGCGTGTCCGTCACGTAACCCTGGCGGCTTGTGGTTACATTTCTGGTGCGCACGTGAAGCACATTGCTGCTGGGTGGCGGTCCGACAGTTTTCCCATCTCGGCGAGGTCAAATCAACCTTCCGCAGCACGTGCGGACATCAATGCCGCGGTGCAAAAAAACGCGCCTGCCAGGCACTCGCATCACTGGCCCACTGGTCGTCTAACAATTTATCCGTTCCTCGTTTCAAAACAGCCTCGATGAACGTTCGTCGCACGCAGGCGAAATCGTTGACGCGGCAACGGCCTCTCATTTACCGGTTAGGAAAACAATTTGCTCATGCCAGGGATGGGGCATGGTTGGCACGCCGCACTACATACGCCCCGGTGGGGAGATGTTAACTACCTCGCCCGGTATACAGGAGGTTATGGGTTCGATCTCAAATCCCGATGGCTGTATATGTGCAGTTTGCATGTTCTCCCCGTGGTCACGTGGATTTTTCTCCGGGTCCTCCCGTTTTTCCCTCCACATTTAGAATGAACGCCACCACGCGTTTGGTGAATATTGGCTGCTATTAATTTCCACATAATCCACTTCTTTGTGCAATCATTTGTGATAGCCAGGTCGCTTCTGAACAAAAAGAGCTACATAGCTCAGTAGGCCTTACCTGGTAAAAATATAACCAAAATAAAAACGTAAAAAAATAAAAAAAATTACAATAAAAAATAAAGCTTGTTCAGCGACAGCGAAGCGGCAGCCGACTCACCAGCTCCTTGGGCCTACGGGTCTGGTCCACCATGTCAAGAAGGGGGAAGGCTTCGCGCAGCATGTCGATGGTGACGATCTGCGTGAAGCCCAGGCTGAGAGGGGGGAGGAGGAGGTGGTGGTGGGGGGGAAGGGTGGCTCCGGTTAAGGAGCAAACCGCGTGCGCGAGCGGGGAGGTGGGGGGGGGTACTCACGAGGCAGGGCCGGGTTACAGAGTTACGGGAACGCGCGTGTTGGCATCGGGGCGACGTCTGGTCAACAACTCTACCGCCGTCCTCGTTCCCCAAGGAACATCCCTGAAACTTACTCCGGATCCACGGAGGCTCCGGACCGGATAGCGAACGCTCCAACACCGCGATGGCACCGAGTTATTACGATCGTATATGATTGCAATAACCTCCCCCCCCCCCCCCCACTCCTCTGATCTTTGCACCTGATAGGCTCACAGTGATAATATCACATTGTTCTATTTAAGACCGGAATCTGAAAGACTTCTAGACAATTCTTGAAAACCGCCTGGTGAAGCTGGTTGTAATCACGAGCGGGCCCGTCTTACTCGATCGTAAATGTCCCGCGTTAACTCGCCATCACACCGACGTGCTGAAGTAGTAACCAAATGCAACGTTTTGTTCACGGGACAAACCTTACTAACTGTCTGTGCCGGGTGGTGGTGAGTTAACGACACGTTTATATTTACGCGATTCAACCCCAAAACCTTTATGATTAATATCACGGTCGCACTGCACGGCTCTCCCGTGTGTTGTCCGGGTCGTACCACGGTGCATTGTTCCGCGCGCTGTGCCGACGTTTCACTCCACGTGCTGGGGGACTACTCCAAGAACGAGTACAGAATTTCAGAGACGCTTTGGAAGCATCGAACATCGCTGTCGAACAACACGTAGTGACAACCGGAAAGCACATAGGAGAGCTAACGTCATGCTGTACTGCAGCAAATTGCTGCTCCTCCATACGACATCATCATCATTATCTGTGGCCTTGTCGTTATTGATTTCATAAAAATCAGTAAAACTCACCATTACCACTCTCCTTACCGCTTCCCTAATAACAACACCCGCCATTCGCCACTAAGTGGCGGTGACGTCACCACGGCACCGGTGGTTTTTCCAAAGCTCCAATCCCAGGTGGACAGTTGCAACCATCGCAAGACCCTGTGAGGTGGCTATAACTTTGGGGAAGCATTCAGCCAGCAGTGGATAGATCACAGCTGGCTGCTGCTGGGTGTGTCCCGATTTATTATCAGGAGTTTTCATATTCCCAGCCTCCCTACTTGTATCATGAACCTTTAACATGTAAGTAGATACTTTTATTCCTGAAACAATCATCACGATTATTTGTGTGCAGTCGAATTACTCAATCAGCAGTGGATTGACCATGGTCGATGATGAAATCTTGAAATTAACTCGTTGAATTTTTTTTTTATTTGACGTTTTGCACTGTATTAACATTAGCGGAATGTATCACTTGTGTATAATTGTGACCATAAAACATTTAATATTTACCAACAAAAGCCACAAGTCAAGATAGGAATTATCTCATGTTTTCAACTTTGGATTTATGACCAATATCCGATTCGGGTTTCTTTGTTCATATTTCCCATTATTATATTAACTATGCATTTTCTTGAGATCATGTGAATTGGTTATTTCGGTAATCACTCAGTTATTTCAATGCTAAATTCGCCTAGTTATTTCAATGCTAAATTCCCCTGTTTGATTTGTACTAGGTGCCTCGGTGAATGTATATGCTCTGACTTTAACACAGCTATTTCTGTGACCAGTTACAAGCTAATCACTGAGCTATTTCAATGCTAAATTCTATGCTAATTCCTTTGTCAAAGGGTGCCTCTGCGGATGTGTATACTTTAACTTAGCTATTTCAATGCTAAATTCTATGCTAATTCATTTGTCAAGGGGTGCCTTTGCGGATGTGTATGCTTTAACTTTAACATAGCCTTTTCTGTGACCAGTCACAAGCTAATCAGTCAGCTATTTCAATGCTAAATTCTATGCTAATTCCTTTGTCAAGGCGCTTTGTTTCTTCTCACACAGCTTAAAGGTCGCGATCTCAGCGTGGCTCTCTCACTCCAGCGCTGTCCTACCAGACAGTCTCGCCCCCTTCACCTGATGAAGGCCGCTTGTGTTGTGGCCGAAACGTCGTGAGAATTTTATTGTGTTATTTTATTTTATCAATTTATTATTTTATTCTCATTCTACGTGACTCTACCGAAAGAACCAAAGAAGATGAATCCTTGCAGTCACGAAAGCTTTAAACCGAAATATAAGGTGAATTGGCCAGGAGATGGCGGTCACAGTAATGGGTTGAATCGACCTGTTCAAACATTTGGTTATCATCTCCTCATAATAATATCGGCCACAATTAATCCACTGCTGGATGAAGGCTTCCTCAAGCCGGCTACTTGGCTCTCTTCCCCACATGGAGCCCAACACTCATTAACGGAATCTGTCAAACATCCCCACCGCAGGGCCTCCTGAAAAGGACCTCCGAGACTGGGTGAGGCTTACCGCACCAATTCCGCATTGTGCCCTTTAACAGCCAAACTGGCGCTCGTGGTGAGGGACTCACAACGATTCGGTTTGCCCCCGAAGCATTAACCATACAAACGGCGAGTTTATCTGGCTTGCTCGTACAAATCCCCCGATCCAAAAACCTAGATTACGAGGCGCCTTCAAGTCCCTGCATCGTGCGCCGAAGAGTTCACGCGAGACTAGGGCGGGTGCGAGTTCATCCGCGATGCTCAGCGAACCAGGAAGAGAATGGCATTCTCTCAAACGATTTATTTTAACTCAACATTTTTTTTAATTTTAATTACCAGGTAAGGCCCACCGAACTACGCGGCTCTTCAGCAGAAGTGACCCGGCCAGAAAAATGATCGCTCAACGAATCGGCTTCTCACGTGGACATTGAGAGCAGCCAAATACTCCAAACGCGTGATGTTGATTCTAATTGTGGAGGGGGAAAAAAAACGGAGGACCCGGACAGACAAACTTCAATTATACAGGTTGTGAGGGTTGGGATCAAACCCACGATACCCTGTACACCAGGCGATGTAGTTAACGTCTCGCCACCGTGGCGCTTACATTCAATCACTCTTGCCTCCCGCTCGGTTTCCTGTGGTGAACTGGATTAATCGCTGGGACAATTTGAATCTAAAAACTGTTGATCCACTGCCTTCCACCTCACTCAAGTCTTTATCTTGCTTCCATTATCAATTTGTGTTAATATTTTTCACTTGCAAATGTTTTCAGTTCACGCCGCTGCTGGCGGAAGGGCATCCAACTAGAGGGCGCGTTAGAGAGCCCCTCTACAGAGGTTATTTTGGCCTACTCTTCCGCTGGCCTGACGACTTGGAACACGTGGGATTACCCACACTTTACGCCACCATGCGCCACCTGCCTACATCAAAAAACATTTAAGTTGCTCCACGGGCATTTGACATGTTGCTGCTTTGCAAGTGCATGTTTTGTATTTGTCTTTGATACTTTTAATTATTGGAATCTCAAACTGGAAAGAAGTCTAAAATAAATATAACGGTTATCAGACACGTGACAAATCCAAACTCGACTGGAATCGTAATTGTAGCAGCTGCAAAGCTGTTTATGCTTTGTCACCATCACCACCATCTGTCCGCGCTCGCATATTTTTTTTCCCAATTATATTTAGCCAGACATCAAAGCCCTCCGACGTGCGTTACCTCCCCCCCGCCCCACCCTGTGCAAAGGGAGACCCAGGACGCATGCACAGGTTTTTATACTCGCGTCCGTCCTCTTGTGCAAGGAAATGCTATCCCACCCCCAAACCCGTTTCTTCTTTTGCAAGAAAAATGAAAACCCTCCACACCTGTAACAATTTTACCACTCCGTGTGCTTTCGCGGACGTGCCACACGGCTTCCCCAGCGGCGCGTTTTAAAGTTGTGCCGCGCGTTTTTTTCAGCGCGATGTCCGACGTTTTGCTACCCCCACCACCTCCCCCCCCACCCGTGTGCTGTGAACTACTGGATATCAGTGAAAAAGAGCTTTTATACCTCATCGCATTCCTCCAGTACAAAATAGATATTCTGATTTTGGATGCGAATTCAGTTCCATTTCACGTGCTCGGGAGCTTCTTGCGACGTGGAATTTCAGTTCCTCAAGAAGCTGCCCCCCCCCCCCCCCCCCTCCCACCGCGCACACACGGAATGAGAGGTTTGAACATCGTGCCGAACGGCACGCGGTACGACGCGAAAACACATCGGAGGGACCGCACGGTAACCCTGCAGCGATGCGAACGGCGATCGCGCTGCGTGCGCAAGGCAGCGCTTTCACCCGTGACGGAAAGCGACACATCCGCAGCGGCAGCATTCTAAAACGCAGCCGATGCAGACGTTGTTTAAGAGAGCGCACAATTCAAACGCACGAGTCACTGTGGAATGAAAAAGGTCCCCGCTAAATCGGGAGAAAAAAAAATTACTTTACGTGCTATCAAATTTCACCGAGCAATGCCAGAAAGGTCCATGAATAACCCGGCCTCGTAAATGCGCTAAGGCGGGCAACGGTGTCTTATCGGGGCGGGGGCGGGTGGGGAAACATGCAACGTTGCCCAAAACAGTGACAATTTAAATCACACTGCAAAGGCGATGGCCATCAGCACTCGCCGTCCCAAGCAAAACATAACCGCTCCACGTCGATTTGTCTGCGTTTGACCGGAGGCAGGGCAAGACGAGATAGAACAATCCATGCGGCAGCAGGGCAGAGCGCGACCGCGGCGTTTTAAACTGCCGACGTGCGGCGGACTGCTGGGAAGGGGGCGGGGGGCAGGACCTTTTGTACTCGCGCAGCCTGCTGCTGCTACTGCTGCTGCTGCTGCACCTGCAGTGAGAAATGCGACACCGGCATTCTCCCGAGGCCGAATCCCACGGCGTCGTCAGGATGTGACCGGGCACGTCGACGGCCCACAGCTCGTCGCGCGCTCCGCTCGTTCGTCCGACTGTGCGGGCCCGCACGTCTGGATGGCGATCTACGCCGCGTCCGCACTTGCGACCCTGGCTGACCTCTCGCTCAAAACTGACATCGCCTCCGTGTGTGGTCAGAGGGGGGCTCTGCCAAATTGACCCACACCCCCAACCCAACTCTGATTTTACTGTACCACCGGTGTATGCCAGAGTACACCACGTGTGTATGTGTAGGGCTGTTACACGAGGCCGAGTAGGAAGAATGTAGAACTACAGGAGCAATGCGGATGCTCGCTCGGCACTCGCACAGTTGCACCAGATTTGTTTGGCTGTCGTCACCTATGTTGGACTTCTTTCGCAGCGTACGCAGTCACCCATGGTAATCGGAGGTGCGGTCATAACCATCAGCTGTCATCTACCCAATTATGGATATATATGTCTCTCAGCGGGGACACAAGAGAATTCTGGCCACCACTTTCGTAGCGCAGCATTCGCACACCACTTCAAAATTAAACCCCCCCCCCCCCCCCAAAAAAAATAAACGCTTAGTGGACAATAATTTTTGTCGCCGATTTCATTTAACAACAACAGAGAATGGCTTGACGACATAAGAGATTCGTGGCCGAGAGACGTGGCACTACCTGAGCATATTGGCACAAGACAGAGAGGAAAGTGTAAACAAATGACGCAATTTGCAGGAGACACTTATGGGCCATCTGCCCATGGATCGGGATGATGATGACGATGACGACGACGAAATTAACACCCATTCACGGGTCTCTACCGACAGCGGTTAGAGGGAGGATCGTCGCACCGGAGCCACGGCACTCCACTTAAGGTCACAGCACCGGGTCCCCCAGGTGGGGGCGGCTCGGCAAGCGTCGACCGGCTCAGACCGGTTTAACACAACGGCAGCGAACCGGCAAACCCCCACCGCTCACATCTTAATGCACGACGCAAGCGCCCCCCGACAGCCGACTCGGCCAAGCGGGTGCAGCACCTTTGAAATGTCATCACCGCCACCGTTTATCGTCGGCATCAGCCATGATCTATCCACTGCCGGACGAAGACCTCCCCAACCCGTCGCCCTCTCCAATGATCCAACATCTCTCACGATGCTACTAAACTAAACTGTAAACAATTTGTTACCAGGCCCACTGAGCTGGCTTTCACCACCTGAATGTGAAATTGTAAGTTAAATCGTGACTTAACGCTTTCGTGACTGCAGGAATTCACACTCTTTGGGTCTTTCGGTAAAGTCACGTAGATAGAAAAATAATAAAAATAATGATAGAAAACCACGACGTTTCGATCGCAACACAAGCAATCGTCTTCAGGTGAAAAAAATACAGCAGGCGGACTGCTGAGGCAGGAAGAAATATAGTGACAGAACTACTGATTGTAAGTTGTTGCTCTGCATCCAGATTAGGCATACAAAAGAAGAAAAATAACCAGAGTATGCATGGAGTGTTGGACAGTCACTTACACACGCCTGATGTGTTGCACCCCACCGCATTTGCCATTTGGTGGAGTCCCTGATTTCCCATTTACGGAGGAAATATTGCAGGCACGAACCTCTCCACGCTTCTCCGAGCACTTTCCAGCTTTTGTTCCATTTTCTCTATCATTGTTTCTGATCCATATGTCACAGCAGGTGATCGATATATATATAGACTAGCTTTACTACCCGGCTTTGCCCAGGACTTGGGATTCACCACGCCCGGCCGCCTTTGCCCCCCCAGTGGCGATGTTCACACACCACATCAGTTACTCGTTTGAGGCTGAGTCGACCTAGGGGAGACCCAGGACCGGTTCAAATAATCGTCACCGGTGTTGGCCGTGAGCGGGAATCGAACTTGGTTCGTAGCGCAGCTCGCTAACCGCTACACTACCACTCCCCCTACACACACACACACAGACACAAACACACACAGCGCACTAACCGCTACACTACCACTCCCCCCACACACACACACACTCACTCGCGCGCATCCATAGGTACACATAGACGCGCTTGCTGCAGACACACACAACCTTCAGGGTGCGTACGGCAGAAAACGACTGAAATAATAAAGCAATGCTGAGCGAAGAACGCCTTGGACCTGCAACACATTTGTATGGCACTGTACCCGCGGAGGGTTGGGGGGGGGGGGTGCGTGACATCAACAGGCACACTGCGTTACGCTTCCGCATACGGGTCACATGACAGAGATGTGACGTCACAGCTGACTTGCCATGGAAAATATATCCATTACTGCGCCCCCCCCCCCAAAAAAAATATGCAAAAGTGTATTTTTATAATTTTTGCATGGTGTACAATCTGGAAAGTACCCACATGGCAAATTTCAAGTTTGTTGCATGTCGGGAAGTACACTAAACATTTTGAACAGACACACATAATCACAAATTTCCCTTTTATATATATAGATAAACCCTTTCGTCTTTTGACACGTCTGTTAATTTTCATTACGTGTATTGTGTTTCCTCATTTTAAAATAAATATTGAAGCAAAATGACGCAGGGTAATTGCGCAGCTACTTTTCAAAGTAGTTCGTTTTTCTTTGTTGTTTGTTTACACAAAATTGCCCCACTGTTGGTTGTTTTCCAACCACTGTTTTGGAGCAATCATCAGCCGGAATTTACCTGCTCATTTTCCCTTGCTGTTTATGGCATCGTGACCCCCAAATTGTGGAAATCTACTAAAATCGCAGAGAGGCTGCATCGATATGTTCCTAATGCACATGCGTTCTGTACTGAACTTGGCCCGATACTCCAAGGCACACATCCAACACTTTTGTGCACATGTACCGGCGGCGCAGTAAACGAGCCCCCAGTCAACCGTCGCTCAGAGGGAGGTCGCTACTTCTCCTCTGCTGCCCCCAAAAGTTTGGAACTCTCTTCCCCACCCCCCAGCCATCTGTTCTGTCGACTCCTCGTCTCTGTTCAAGTCCAGACTCAAGGCCTTCCTTCATTTCTTCATCTGCCTATGACTCACTTCCCCTTTCTCTCTACCAAACAAAATACGCCTACCTTTCCTGTACGGCGTTCTTGAAACATCGAGACACCGTGTATAAATCCGAATCGTGATTATTTTTGCACTGAATTTTCTCGCTGCTGTCGGCGTTTAATTGCCACGGGACTTCGGACTAACGGTTTGAAAGATCGGTCCAGTTTTGACGACACTGCTGTGCAAAAATCAGCAGCAAATTCCTCATGTTGCAACTCAGAATCAGGAGACCTGGCAAAGACGCACGACCGCAGGACATTACAGGTAGTCCCCGAAAATATCGTAAGTCGGACCATCATAAGTCGGGGACTACCTGTATATTCCCTTACAAAGAGGGGGTGGGGGGGGGTGGGGGGGGGGAGTGTGGGGTGGAGAGGGAGAACAGCGCATCGAGCCAGAGGGAGGATACTTTTTGGCAATGTCTTCCACGGGCCCCTGGCCTGACACGAGCACGTGCTTGTGGTGGTACTGCTCAAACATTCGCAAGGGACTGTGCGACAGCATCACCTGCTCCTGGGAGATCTGCACGCACGCACGCAACACAAGCGACACCAACGCACGCGTAGCACACCGTCAGAGACTACGATCCACGGTGACTGTGCAACTCATATTGTAATTACGATTGCAACGTCACCTAAAAATGCTTGTGCGGTTATGGTTATTATGATTGACCCCAAATCTAAATCAATATTAAATCGAGGAATCGATGCATCGTCACATTAACAATGGCGGGGGTAGGGTGGGGTGGGGCTCAACACCCCCCGACCCACACAGCCACCGAGCGATGGACTCCCTCGCACCAAACAGCCTCGTCACATTTACAATACTGGGCGAGACAGACGGACATATGGACGGACAGGTCAACGGACCAGCTGAATGACCCACCGAGCTAAACTAAACAATTTTTAATTTACCTGGTATGGTCCACCGAGCTGCATAGACCTGGCTATCATGAATGATAGCCCAACGAAGTGGCTTATCACATGTAAACTTACAGCAGCAAAATACTCTCAAAGCATCGTTGTAACTTGCTCACCCGCCCATACTGGACACATCTGTGAAAAAGAGCTTCATAGCTCATGGGATTCCTCCAGTCTAAGTAAAGATTCTGATTGTGATTCTCAACGTGGACTGTAAAACCGGAGGACCCGGAGCAAAAAATCCACACGACCACGGGCAGAGAGAACATGCCAACTCCAAATATACAGTCATCAGGGTCGGTATCGAACCCACAAATTCCTTGATACCCGGTGAGGTGGTAAGCCCTCTGCCGTTCCGAGACGACTGCAAGTTACAGCGTGGCCCGCGTTCACAGCTGAATCTCGAAACGCGCAAGCGGTTAGCGTTAATTTTATTTAGAGAGGCGTATCACCGTTGTTTTTAAAAAAGATCGCACTCAACCACAGGGAACCGTAGCGACACGACCGCACTCCACAAACTGTGCCACACGCCCTGTCGCGTGGCCTCGCGGGAGCTTCGGTAGCGATAAAGTTATTTATTTTTTTATTTTTCTTCCGATATCGGAAACAGGAAAGGGGTTAACGACTCGCCACCGCGGCAACCAACCCACAGCGCACGCAACGCACCGGCACTCCCAGCACATCCGAGAGCTGCGCCGCCTTCGCCTGCCGCAGGCAGTTGCCGGCGTTGGTGACGAACACAACGGGCACGCGCAGCGCACCACTCGCGTCCAGCAGCTTGCGGAAGGCGTCGCGAGCCGCGGGGATCGGCGTGCGGCCTCGCACGAGCACGCCGTCGATGTCGAAGAGCAGCCCGAACGAGGCAGACTGCGTCTTGCACTGCGGGCCGGAGAGAGACGGGGGAGAGGGGGGGGCCGCGATCGTTCAGCGACGGAGATGCCAAAGGGAGCATAAGAGGAGAGAGGTGTGTGTGTGTGTGTACTGAATGTTGAACTTCTTTCGCGCCGTGCGTAGCCAACCGTGCTAATCGGAGGTGCGGAGATTATTCGACGTTCCTGAACAAGCTGCCAGCATGTGGGGGCGAAACGTTGGACTTCGTGCCAAACAACACAGACACACATCGGGAGAGATTAAAATACAGCCAACTGTAAATTATCTGGAGAAATATGATGGGGTGGGGGGCCCTAACCCCCAACCCGTAGGAAGGAGTCATCTGCAATATACATAAACACAGATGGGATTAAAAAAACATGTAAGATAGGCAAAAAAAAAACCCTTTATTTATTGTTGACCCATTTAGAAAAGTAATAGCCGCTGATGATGATAATGAATGGAATAATCTCACCAGTAATGATTACTGCGGTCAATTATTCGTGCGTGACCCACACCCATGTAAATAGCCCCTGCCCTAAGTCACGGCACAAAAACGCCTTGCTTTGGCGTCAGTGCGAGGATGACAGTCGAAGACAAGCGATGCCTTGGGACACTAAACAGGCATGAATAATGCCTCAACGCCCAAACCCGAGGTTCTGTTGGCTGCATTCCAGCTGTAAGCACGGTTGGCACCTACGATGCGCATGGTTGGCTACGCACGGTGCGAAAGATGATCAACATACATACACACGTAAGTCAGCGGAGGAAACACAAGAAATAAAATTCCCATTTTATGTAAGTATTGCGGTTGTGTCGATTTCGATGATGATAACGACGTGGGAAGCTGCTTCCGAAATGGCTTAAAAAAAAAGTATTTTTTTATTTTCAACAGCACAGCTGCTGAGCACAACGGACCATAGGTCCAAAATGTCAGCAGCCTGCAATCGGCAGCAATTTCAAAAAATAATTTTAAAAAAACACACACACAAAAGTGAAGGGTGTGACACATCCCTTGAATCGAGCTAGGGGTTTTTTTATTGCAGGAGCTTGGGGAAAGGTGGCAGTTGGGGGGAGGGAATTCCAAGGTGTGAAGCAAGGGCACGGGACCCCCCTGGCGATCCGGGGACCACACTTTGAGAAGCACTGCTCCGAAGGGTTACGCAGATCACACCTGGTCACAAAAATTACCACCGTCACAATTCTGTTGCGGGACCGGTTCAGATATCACTCGCCATTGACGTTAGACGAGGCCAGGAGTCGAACTCAGGTCGCCGGGAACACGGCGCAGTGTGGGAACCTCCCTCCGCGCCACCGCTTCTCCACAGCTACCCGTTGCCAGCATACAACACAAGCGTGCCGTGTACACGGAGTGCTTGGAGGCGGTCCGTCTTGTGTGAGCTTACCGCACACGATCCGGGTCGGCCTGTCCTTTACGTAACACCGCGCTTCGGAGCCGCAGTGCCGTTCAATTGAGGGCATCTGCCAATGTCCAGTTCAGTCCGGGTCATCATTATATTATTAAACCGCAAGCGGCGTAGTCATCAAGTGTGCAGGCGGTGTTACTGCCCCGGGGCCCAGGGAGTGGGCAGTGAAGAGGAGGGGATAGAGGACAGGCGAGGCGGCCCCGTTTTCATTCCTTGCACCATCTTTGCTTGGTACAATTGGAACTTATATACGTTATCTATTTTCATATTTATTTTTGTGTGATTTGCTTTCCTTTCCTATACTTTGTAATCGGATCGTTTTTTGTATTATTTATTGTTGCAACATTATGACCTGCCCCTACTGGATATCTGTGTAAAAGAGCTCATCGGATTTATCCAGGATAAATAAAAGATCTGATTCTGACCAGGGCCCATGCCAACCACACTTGGCCACTGGGTTCGCATAAGTCCCGAAGCATCTGTGTCTCTGTGTACTGCTTAGATCAATTATTATACCAATTGAGTCCATTTACATTTGGTTAAAAAAAATATATACATTAAATAAAAATCAAAGCCTATTTTAAGCCACTGCTGAATGAAGGTCTCCCTGTACCGTGTCGGTCGTGTGATCATATATTCCACCGTAAATAATTATTTTTCTCTCAACTGGTTATTATATAATTCATTAATGACAGTACATTGTTAGTCCATTGAATCATTCATGTGAGCTCATTGCACACAACCACCCATAGGCAAAAAATGTATCGATTCTCTCACACGCCTTAATTTGCACACAGTAATAAGTGGACTACACGGGCACCATCCCTTTGGTAGCAAGGGCCCTGTGTGCCTCTATTCGAAACATGCTTATATCAAGTGTCCTTGTATCCAGCTTCTACTCGATCGGGAGCGTCAAAATCCATGTAGTGATGATTCCAGTGCAATGTTAACAATCGTGCCCTTCGTGCATCATCTTTGCTTGCGACAATTGTGGATTGTGTCACCCAGGAAGATGCAATACTACAGCATAGCAAGTTTAATGAACAGGCTCGTCGCACGTGGATATACTAAACAACTTAATACAACATTATGAGACCTCCTTTGCCAGTAGCAAGATATAGTAATAAGTTTTTACCCTTTTATCTGGCACCAAAACTGACACCATTATGCAAGGGATCATGTTTGCAATAACCACAACACAAGCAGTCAAAATGCAAACAAAAAGAGACAACTCTGGTAATGATATGCACTGTCCTTGAAGTTGATTGGTCCACACCCGAGACGGCTTTTCTTAGAGCCTAGTCTCCACTGGTGTTGGACCAGATGACGCCAAAAGGCATACAACTCAAACAACAGCGCACTATCAGAGTACTGAGAGCTCGGGGCAAGCATTTACATTATGACACCTCCTTTGCCAGTAGCAAAATATAGTAATAAGTTTTTACCCTTTTATCTGGCACCAAAACTGACACCTTTATACGAGGGATCATGTTTGCAATAACCACAACACAAGCAGTCAAAATGCTTACACGTTTGACAGCGTTATGTAACGCTGCCTTATGTAAGACTACTCGTTGTACAAGGGATCGTATAAATCCGCCCTTATCTTTATCCTCACCTGCTCAGTTTTGGCCAAATCCGCAATGTTAACGCTGTCAGCAAATACGCTGTCACATGCCATTAACAATAAATTATATATATTTAAACAATTTAAAAGTTAATTATTTAATTTCACATTCGGGTTATAATTGCATTGCTGTGAATAAATGCGTTAAATATGCAGTGCGATATGTTAATCATACTGCATACTGTTTTTAATAGTATGCAGTACGATTAACCTATTGGCTCAGGAAATCCTCACTGCATTGGAATGTTTGGCTAATTCCTTTTCTCAGAAGTGATTTGGGAGATACATTCTATGCGCGAATACCTTAAGAGCACACGTGCAAATGAACACACATGACACTGCAATGTGTACGGAATCTGCCCATGACCAAATCACCCAGAAGGCAATCCACCCAGTCACATCTCAGAGGTTAAGAAAGCTTGACCCTGAACAGTGTTTGGATGGGCGACTACCATTCCTGGTTGGGGGTTGACTCAGCCCATAATCCCTCCAGGGTAGATAAAATCAGTACCACGTTGGGGGGGGGGGAGTCAACAGTGGTTGTCCTAAGGATAAACTCACGCCTGCCATAGGAATGTGGAATTTCCACCAATGGATCAGGGCTGTAAAAAGAGGAGATAAGCAGGAAATCACTGACTGTTTCATTCTTCAGTTTTTTTCCCAATTACGACACCAACCAATGCGTCATTGTGGACAAAATCAATAAACACCATCGTGGGCCGGCAGCGACCAGGGTGATGAAGTATGGTTAAAAAAAAAAACCGTTAAATAACTCTCAAGACCCGCAACAATCGTGGGTGAGGAGGCCCCCTCCCCACCCGTCAGTGGAGTGACAAACGAGCTTTGAGTTCATTTGATAACACGGATATTACTTTTTAAAAGCACCCTTCAGTCCGGACCAGTATTTATACCACTGGCTCGGACGCTGCTGCCAAGCCGACTGGCGCCCCGAACTCCCACCCCACCGGCCACCAGCCCCCACGGCTGTGAAATAAAACGTCAGAACCCGCTCCGAGACAGTTCTGCAAACCACGCAACTCGCACCCACCCGGGGAAGCTGGGCAAGTCCCAACGTTGTCACACGTGACCCCTGTCACGTCACAACGCAGGAACAATCAGAGGCCGCACCATGGAACTGCCACAACCCCCAGCCCTTAGTAACTGACCACGCGCGGTTCAGGTATTGGCGAGGACTTCATCCAGCAGTGGATAAGGTCATGGCATATTGATGACGATGGCGATGAGCATGATTGGGTTGTCCTGTGAAGCAGGGCCGTTGCCCGAAACGTCGCCGATTATATACGTCACTGGTGCTTGTGCACCACCGCCAATGCAGTAGGGCATCACCAGATAACGTCTTTACCGATTTGGTGGGTAGGTGGGTAGGAAGGTAGGCAGGTAGGTATGTGGAATGTTTGGTATGTATGTGGGATATGTGGTTAGTAGGTGTCTGTATAGGTAGACATGTGGGTATGCAAATAGGTAGGCAGATTGGTAGGTAGATATGTACGTACGTGGGTATTCCAATTTAGCAACTAGTGGGTAAATTAGTCGGTAAATACGCCCGTAATATACGTAGGTAAGTGAGCAGGTAGATGGTGCGTATGTGGGTAGACGGGTGGGTAGTAGGGACATTATGTGGGTGGATATATTGTTATACCAACAGGTAAGGAACATGAGTAGGTACTGTAGTTGGGGACGTGGAGGTAGGTGGGTGAACTGAGTATGCAGGTGGGTGAATAAGTAGCGTGTAGGTAGGTTGGCAGATAGTCAGGTGAACATGTAAGACAGGTGGGTGGGTGTGTGGGTAGGTGTGGCGTGTGGGTAGGTGTGGCGTGTGGGTAGGTGGGTGTGTGGGTGGGTGGGCGCGTGTGGGTGGGTGGGCGCGTGTGGGTGGGTGGGCGCGTGTGGGTGGGTGGGTCAACGAGTGGCTATGTATCCAGGCAGGTAAGCAAGCAGGTTGACTGGCAGGTCTGCAGATAGGTGAACAGGTAGTTAGGTGGAAATGTGGGTAGGCATTTGGGTATGTGGGTTGGGAAGTGGATGTGGGTATGTAGGTAGGGGGGGGGGGGGTATGTAGGTGGGGGGGGGGGGGGTATGTAGGTAGGGGGGGGGTATGTAGGTAGGGGGGGTGGGTATGTAGGTAGGAGGGGGGGTATGTAGGTAGGAGGGGGGGTATGTAGGTAGGAGGGGGGGGTATGTAGGTAGGAGGGGGGGGTATGTAGGTAGGAGGGGGGGGTATGTAGGTAGGAGGGGGGGTATGTAGGTAGGAGGGGGGGTATGTAGGTAGGAGGGGGGTATGTAGGTAGGGGGGGTGGGTATGTAGGTAGGAGGGGGGGTATGTAGGTAGGGGGGGTGGGTATGTAGGTAGGAGGGGGGGTATGTAGGTAGGAGGGGGGGTATGTAGGTAGGAGGGGGGGTATGTAGGTAGGGGGGGGGTCATAGGTAGGGGGGGTCATAGGTAGCGGGGGTCATAGGTAGGGGGGGTCATAGGTAGGGGGGGGTCATAGGTAGGGGGGGGTCATAGGTAGGGGGGGGCATAGGTAGGGGGGGTCATAGGTAGGGGGGGTCATAGGTAGGGGGGGTCATAGGTAGGGGGGGTCATAGGTAGGGGGGGGTCATAGGTAGGGGGGGTCATAGGCAGGGGGGGGGGGTCATAGGTAGGGGGGGTCATAGGTAGGGGGGGGGGTCATAGGTAGGGGGGGTCATAGGTAGGGGGGGTCATAGGTAGGGGGGGTCATAGGTAGCGAGGGTCATAGGTAGGGGGGGTCATAGGTAGGGGGGGTCATAGGTAGGGGGGGTCATAGGTAGGGGGGTCATAGGTAGGGGGGGTCATAGGCAGGGGGGGGGTCATAGGTAGGGGGGGTCATAGGTAGGGGGGGTCATAGGTAGGGGGGGTCATAGGTAGGGGGGGTCATAGGTAGGGGGGGGTCATAGGTAGGGGGGGTCATAGGCAGGGGGGGGGGGTCATAGGTAGGGGGGGGTCATAGGTAGCGGGGGTCATAGGTAGGGGGGGGTCATAGGTAGGGGGGGTCATAGGTAGGGGGGGTCATAGGTAGGGGGGGTCATAGGTACGTTCATGAGTTGGCGGATAGGTAAGTAACAACGTTGGTCGACAGGTAAAAGGCAAAACAACAAAGCCGCCATTCGCCACTAAGTGCCGGCGACGTGGACACGGCGGAGCCTGTGCCAGGCTAGGTGCACCTGGAGGCCACCACGTTCAGTGTTGGAAGGCTCGCCGACGGCAGGAGGTCACGGCAACCGTGGCACACAGGTGGACAAGAGAGACAGACGAGTAAGCCGACGGAGACGAGAGAGGTAACCGGAGAGAGAGAGAGACACGCTAACACGGGCAGGGCAGGCACGACAGGCAAGAGACCGGGAAACCCGCGGTACGCCTGGGGGTGCCGGGCGCAACGAGGCGGGCAAGGGGTGGGGGAGGCCGGCAAGGGGTGGGGGAGGCCGGCACAGCGAGTCGGGCACGCGGCGCCTCTCACCCGGACAGAGGCCGTCGCTTGAACTCCTCCGCTCGCCGGCGGCTGAAGGAGCAGCAGCCCCGTCGCGCTCCGCCACAGCCTGCCGAGGTGCCGCATGGCTACCGGCCGCGTGATTTACAACGCAAACCACACACGCGCACAGACACGCACACACACACACAAAATCAACGGCCGAGTTGAGTTCCGAGCGGTGGAGGAGGAGAGGCGGAAGACCAGCGTCGTGGTTGCCTTTGACAGCCCGGCTGGGCGGTGGCGGTAGCGGCGACGGCGTCGTGGAGCGACCTCGCACGGAGCCTCGCGTCTCGTAGTGAGCGGACGCTGCCGTTACCCCTGGGGACCCCTCCGGGAAGCCCCGCCCCCACCCCCGCACACCTCCCCTACCATTGGTCGAGAACGCTGGTGTGTTAGAGCCGCGCCGACCAATGGGGGGCCGCGTTTGTTGTTGTGCGCCTGGAGGCGTTGGCCTGCGATGGAGCGCCATTGGCTGCCGAGGCCGCGTGCGTGTGTGCGTGGGTGGGAGGGGTTTTGGTTCGTTCCGTGTTTGAGTGAATGAATGAATTCGTGCAGGAATGACTCACGTACTATATTTAACGAGGCTGAAAAGACGCGTTGTACAGACCAGGATTTTTTTTATGAAAATCAATGAATTCATGCATTAGGGGCCGTCCATAAATGACGTCACGCGATTTTGGACGATTTTTGACCTCCCCCCCCCCTCGTCACACGGAGTCACAAAAAGTCAGACCCCCCCCCCTCAAATATGACGTCACAAAGCTCTGCTCCCCGCCCCCCAAAAAAATATAAAACATGCTTCAAATCGCTCTAAACTATTGTCATTGTAGTGCGTATTTAATGTGGCGCTGCACTCTGATGTTGTAGGAGAAAACATTTATTAAAAAGTCTATTTCATTAAGTAGAACGTGTTGTCTATATTTATTTAAAGTTGCGAATTTTGATGTGACGTCCCATTTCTCCCCCCCCCCCCCCCCCTCGTCACACATCGTCACAAATGTCTGACCCCCCCCCCCTCGGTGCGTGACGTCATTTATGGACGGCCCCTTATATGCAGTACTTTATTTAGTCATACGAGAGAAAGCTCATTGTATAATATATAACAATCCTAATGGTATCTTGTAAAAGATTCTTTATATATTTTTTAGAAAAAGGTATTAAATTAATGAATTCATAATATCCTTTATATAACAAGCCTAATGGTATATTGTAAAAGATTATTTGTATTTCTTTAGAAAAAGGTATTAAATAATGAATTAATCATATCCTTTATATAACAAAGGTCGCATACAGTCCGTTGTAATTTAAAATCAGGCGATTTAGAATAAATGACTGGGTGTGTTGCTTTCAAGGCAGAGCCGAGTCACGTTAACAGGATGCAGGGGAGTGTACAATTGTCATATACTGTTTGGTCAATCGACAGTACAGTACTCTATACATATATGAATACATATTATAGTAGGCGAATAATAACAATCTGTGTAGTATTTGACATAAATATGAAGTGTAAGTACTTTTGTGAACGCTCTACGAGATATACGTAGTATGGTTTAATAACACTGCAATATTCATATTGACAAAGCAATAAGTCAAATGCCCATTCTCTCTTACAAGTAAAACTGGGTTTGCACAAGGAATGAAGCCAACATTACAAAATAACATTACTAATAATGACGATATATTCACAATCATTTTGAAACCCGGTCTTGAACCCGTACTAAACCTGAGTTCGATTCCTGGTCGTGGCTTAGCATCAGTGGCGTGTGATATCAAAACTGGTCCCGGCCAGCCACTGCACCAACCCGCACTCACCTTTGTGGTGAAGTATGGCCAACGTTTGCTGTCCCCCCCCCCCGCACCTCCGATTAGCACGTTTGGCTATGTACGGTGGGAAAGAAGTTCAACATAAATAAAAACAACCCCCCCCCATGACTGACACTCTTCGGAGAAGCCTTCATCCAGCAGTGGATCAACGATGGGCTTTGAATTATTTAACTGTTTTAACAATAATATACTGTCATGTATTTATCGAGCAAAGTGTCACAGAGGCCCACGACTGTTCGTCAGGAGGACCGTACAATGGGATGTTTGGCCAATTCATTCACGAGTCTTTGGTTTCGCATTGGAAATAAACTGGAGTACCCTATGAAAACTCTCACACACACAATCGGGTAACAATCAAAGCACCGCACAAATAGATTCAGGAATCCGTTAACGTACTTGACCACGTCACATTTCAGACATTCAGTCCCTCATTCGCGTACTCACCATCATCATCACGATCCATGGGCAGAGAGCCCGCAGATGTCCACTGCGCATTTCGTAATTTGCTTGCAGATGTGAAATCTAATTACGAGCCGAGCTCAATTTGGCTCAACTTCTGGGATATAATGGGAATGGATACATTCAGGTCAATTTGATCCACGGAATATTTAACCGGTTTTTCTGCACTATTGAAAGTCATTTTAATATGAGACCTTGAAACACAAGACAGGTATTCTAAAACGTATAGAGGAAATATTGAGAATGTGTGAGCACGTTTAACTGTACAGGGCATAAGAACGATGCGTTGTCTCGTAAATATGTTTTCAAAACATTACACAGGAAAGAGGGATAACATGTTGATGATAATAAACCGCAAATATTATACGGTGGCCCAAAAAACTGTTTACATTCTCGGGTGATTGGGAAAGTGGCCAATAATGGATGTTTCAGTGCTCTGGTCAAGCATAACAAAAGGGTCGTTACGTGACTTTACCGAAAGAACCAAAGAGTATCGTCGTTACAGCAAGCTGAATCATTTTCATAATCTCACTGATGCTTAACAGACACTATTTACCGGATCGCACGCTTTCAGATGTGCTTCTGGGGCCGTCTGGAACGCTCTTCCTTCCGATTTTAGGAAGCTACTTGAGCTATGCACTTTTAAATAATTTATATTGAAAATTAATTTATTCAGAACTGTGTTTAGTTTATATTCTTAGTTTTTTCGGTAAAGTCACGTTCCCCGCACCTCCAATTAGCACGGTTGGTTACATATGATGCGAAAGAAGTTCAACATACGTTCGACATACATACAGACGTTCCACATACGTACAAAAGATCAACATACATACAGAAGTTTATTTTATTTTACCAGGTAAGGCCTAATGAGCTATGCAAATGTCCCCGGCGCTTGTTTATTTAGTGCATGAGTCACCTTCAAGAAGTTGTTTTGGAAACTTGGTAACAGCTATGGCATCAGAAGCGATGATGCCATGGATGGGATACGGGTAACGATGACATGACAATGAAACATGCATGCATTCATGGGAGAGGCTATGGGAGAATTAAACTACAACCTAAAACTAAACCATTTGTTTAATTTTACCAAGTAAGGCCCACGAAGCTATATATCTCTTTTTTCAGAAAACTCAACAGAGTGGCTTATCACGTGGAAATATATAGCAGCCAAATACTCTCAATGCATGTTTATAAATGTAGAGGGGAAAACCGGAGGATCCGGAGAAAAATCCACATGACCACGGAAATAGAGACATGTAGACTCATGCAATAATACAGGCGTCAGAGTCGAGATCGAGCCCACGACCTCCTATGTCTTACACACCGATGCATAACTATATTTGGCTACAGTGGCGTGTGTGACTCTTCATTGACTATTTCAGCTTTCCAAAAAACACTCCTCCTGCAGACCTTCTCTCGGCCGCCTCCGTAACTCGCCGACTCGTAACACGACAGCGCATCCAAAGGACCACTAAGATTACCCGTGGATGTGAGCGAGGAAGGGTCCCTTTTACAGGCGGCAAGGCGGTTGGCACCGTTAAGTGGCCGAGTCCCATTACCCTGACGCCCCGTGCTAGACTCACACAAAGACAAAGATCCCCCGTATATTCTTAACAGACTGTAGGGGCAAGTGTTGTTAACGAGCACCTATGAAGACCGGAACGGTACATGAGGGGGTGGGTGGCCAGCACCACGCCCGACCGCATTGGCCTTCCCAGTGGCGATGTTTACAGACCGCACCAGGTACTCATTTAAGGCTGAGTCGACCTAGGAGTGGCGCAGGACCAGTTAAGATAATCGTCACTGGTGTTGAATCGAACCCGGGGACGCCAGGTTCGTAGCGCAGCGCGCTCACCGCTACACTGCCACTCCCCGCTGCCAGACTCACACGAGCACTGTAATACACGCGGGGATTTGGGTGTCGCGTGGCCTTCATATCAAGCTGGAATTTTGATTTTGATCCACCGCTCAGGCGGCCAGGAGACACGGGGGCCAGGTAAATTGACGCCTTAAAATACACGACCTTTTCGGTGGACGTCGGCGTGCCCAGATTAGATTTGGTGTAGGCCCGGGGACTGTTATGTAAGTTTGGTGGAGGGGGAGCCCTCTTTGGATGTTCAATTCCTCCCCCTTTGCTGTTTCACCACCACTCGTACCCGAGGACAAAACACTCCATTGTTATGCACCGTGGTTATTTCATTTGTGGTCTTTAAATGTCATGATGTGAAATTTAAGGCCAAATTAACGTCTACACTGACGAATCTATTTTAATTTTGGTGCATAACTGGTCGTAATACACAAAGTGATGCTTTTGCTTTAATTAATTACTTACCATTAGGATGTTTCATAGCGCTCCTGTATTACATTTAAACAAGTGTAACGCTCTACAATTTTTTTGTTTGGAGGGGTTACCCCCCAAAATCCGAGGCCGTAGACTGCAGCCTCTAAAGCCCCTGTATTAATCCGGCCCTGAGTGTCACTGTCGAGTGTGCAGGCGGTGCAACTGCACTGGAGCCCATGGGCCAGAGGGGGGAGGGCTCAGATCCCGGGCTGCAAAACGGGGTGGGGGGGGGGGGTTGAGCAGTGGACCCCATGTCAATCAATCTAACAGGGCCCATACCCTGTTAGAATGATTGTTACATGTTTTTTATGTAGTTTATTGTAAAAAATTCGGTCACAGTTCCTATGATCACTGTTACATTGCATTTATGGCTTTATTTTGGTGATTTCTAAAAGTTTTTTGGTGTGGCCATGTTTTTGTTTATTGTAGTACGGAGTTAGACTGATGGCCTTAATCTAAGTTTTCTTGTTGTTGTTGTTTGACTTGCATCCGACTGGGATTTTTGCACACAGCATTGGTGTACGGTGCTATTTCAGGAATATTTTGATGTTTTTTTTCCTGGATTTTCTGTTTGCACATGTACAAAGTCACTTTAAGATGTTTTCCTGTTCATATTTTTGTTTTTTTGTTTGTTGTGGTTGCACCCGATTCAAGAGCCGAATGGCTCACAGGGCTATACCAAATAAATGAAATAAATGAAACTAT